TATATATAGTCTATAATAAAAATAAAAATTTTTTTATAAAAATAGAATTAAAATAATATATCTACATTAAATATTTAATTCAGAGTTAAAAAAAATCTGGAAGATTTCTTTTTCTAATATTAACATAATTTAATCCTAATATTAATATAATTAAGAAAGTAATATTATATATGCTTACTGTTTGTCAGCTTTCTTCTTTTGTCCTGCCATTTTCTGAGCAAGTTTCATACGATTGGCGATCAGCGTTTCTTCGTCAAGTTCTCCATTATGTTCCACTTGATGTTTCGGTAATTCTTGTTTCGGAGCATCTTGAATTTTTGCTGTAGGATTTAAATATATTTAATTTAATACAAATATCACTGAATAAAGAGAAACATTCCAAACAAAATTTAATGAAATAAAGTTACGTTTGTTAATTAATTATTTTATTCATGCAATATTGTGCATATTATGCAATATTAAGATATGCAATACTGCACCAACATGCAAGGATTTAGTAAACTACTATAATATAAAATATTAAAGCTTACTTACTATGATAATCCCCATTACAGTTATTTGCTTTCTTCTTTTTACCTAGAAGCGAAGAAGAAAATCCCTATTGTTTTAGTATTATCCAGATTGGAAGGAGAAAATTAGTGAATAAGAATAGCTTATAATTCTAAATGTTACATAAATTTGCTTACTGTCTCATACCGCAAAAATAAAACAAGCACGCGATACTCCTACACTTTTATTCTACTATACTATACTTCTTTTTTCCTTAGGATGTTGTTATTGCATAAATTTTATTTTCGTAATTTCTGAATTTTCCCCTACACAGCAAACCTGAATATTATGAATGACTACAAATAAAATTCACTCTTTTTTTGCGCTTTTCTTTTAAATTATTTAAATTTTAAAATTCGAGCTTATTTGTCTCAAATATAGATAAAGCTATGTACACTGTTATTGCATTATAAAGTAATTGTTATACTGTTAGTTATGGCTATACCTGGTTTCTTATCGTCTTTATCGTTTTTCCTCTCAATCATGCTAGCGACAGTCTTTTTGGACTTTTGACTCTCGTCAAAAGTACGCATTTGCTTCGGTATCTTAGCCTGTGAACGTGACCAGTGTTCAGCTCGTTCAAGCACCGTACGATAAGCATGTTCGAACTCGAAGTTGTAGAACCAGCTTGAGTGTTCAAGCTCATTCTTGAAGCAATCCCTAAACTCTAGATGGATGTCATTCAGGAATTTATCCACGTAAGATAACTGTAGTATCTTCTGATATGCCACTACAAATACCAGCTCAAACTCATTGTCGAGTTTATATTGTAGTCGCAAGGAGTCATGCTCAAAGCTGTGATTCCCTGTACGTTCCTAAAAAAATTAATTTTTATAATAAATTATAATTTATTTCTTAAATTTTCTTGAAACAGAGAATTCTAATAACATATAAGGAAAACAGAAATAAAACATTTATTTGGTATAATATTTAATTCTTCAAAATTTAGTTCTATTTAATATTTTATATAAAGGTATACATTATATATATATAATATATTATATATATATATATGTACATTATATATATATATATATATACATATATAAGAGTATATACTATATAGAGATATAAAAGCTTCAATTCCACCAATACTGATATTTAATTTTTGAGAAGAATTATTATTCAAATAAACTTTCAAAGAAATATAAAATATAGGAAACTTGTTTTTTTTTATAATATCCAATCTTTTAATTTTAATTTTATTTTACAGGATAAGGAATATTTCACAAGATATATAATTAGATTTGATAATTTGATTTCCAACCATATGGTTTATTTAACCTAACGACCTCGTTCTTAGCATTATGTATAATTAATTCGCATATTAAAAAAACATTTAAACATCTTAAAACAGTTTTAAGCAAAGCTTTATATATTCAATTTTTTTTAGATAATACAACTATTCATGAAAATAATAAATTGAGAAAAAAATTAAAATTTGGAGATGTAAGGATAAATATTTATGGAGTTGCAGCATTCTTTTTTAAATAAACGGAATTATTATCGAGGAATCAATTAAATGGCTCGAATGCAAATTTAACGCAAGGAAATTGAGGAAATGCATCACGCAATTTAGGGTCAAAGGTCGCCAGACGTAGACGTGTGACTGTCAATATATTTTTGCGACTCACTTGCAATATAACACTTCTTATCAAGGCATTGACGCTGGGCGCGAAAATCTGAGATGTGCTCTGGAAGCACCAGAGCACTATGCCACCCTTGCTGAATATTGTAAAAAGATCGAGCATGATTTCACGATTTTGAATGCGAGAGAGAAAGAGCGAGCCTGTCTCTTGGACACGGTCACAACTTTCGACCTAACCTACTGGCGTAGTCAGACTGGAGCAACTGGAATGATGGACTGGAGCCATGATGGTCTCAGTCATGTGGTCTGTTTTCTGTTCCTGCACTAGACTGTTCCGGAACTCTCTTTCTCGCTTTGAACAAATATCGAACGTATATCTATCTCACTTTAAGTTCCAAAAGTGTACACTAGTTCAGCCACAAAAATCAGACCTATGATGTAAGAATAGTTTCGTTCAGCAGACACTCAACAGTTGAGTGAGCGCTCGCTACTGTTGATGTATTCTTTTAGATCTCAAATACTGATTGAATGATCTAAAAGAATACACCAATAACAGCGAGCGCTCACTCAACTGTTGAATCCGCTGAATGCGCCTAAGCAGAGAGAAACCTGAAAAGTACTACGTTTACACGGCACGCTTTACGCCGAAGGCGAAATTATAATAGGCCTTCTACAATAAGTCGCAAGTCGGAACGTCAGAAGTCTTAACCAGTCTTAACAAAGTTGTTCAAGCTGGCTATTGGCCAACTTCACCGATTATGACTTAAGATCGCTTAGAACTTTTAACTTGCGGCTTATTATAGAAGGTAACATCGATGTTATGAAACTGGCCAATCACAGTCATTCCATTCTTCAGAGGAATAACTATGAGGCCTATTCTTTTTAGCGGGTGGCACCCAGTTGGACACGGCTCAATTGGACACGAGCCACTCACAGCGCTTGAGACTACAAAACTCCTAGGCACCTGGTCGCTGTGATTGGTGGTGTCGAATCGAGCCGTGATCAATCGGGATCACCCCCTTTTTAGCTGAACTTTTGCACCAGCTCATCTTTCTTCTTTTTCTCTTCAAGAGGAAAAAAGAAGAAGAAAGATGAGCTGGTGCAAAAGTTCAGCCAAAAAGAACAGGGGCTCTATTCTTGAAAAGAAACGTATACGAAAGTATAGGGAAATACTATAGTATACGTAACGTATACTGTAGCATTTCCCTAGACTTTCGTATACGTTTCTTTTCAAGAATAGAGCCCCAGGCCTATGGGCTGCGATCCACTTAGCGCTTCAAACGCTACAGAGCATTTGTAGCACTGATATGACTGGTCCATTTGATGCTTCGGAACGCTCCCTGCAACTCTGATTACGTTATCAATACGTCATCGTTTTTGCTCCCACTTCGCTCCAACTGCCTCACCTCGGGAGGTAGATTGGCTGGAGCGTTCACGTAGCAATTGTAGCATTCGAAATAGTAATGGACCAATCGGAGCATAGCGTTTGGAGCGTAGCGTTCAGAACATTTGGAAGAAGCAAGTGGACTGCAACCATGATTGGCCAGTTTCATAACATTGATGTTGGCTGCGATCCACTTGCTTCTTCCAAATGTTCTGAACGCTACGCTCCGATTGATCCATTACTATTTCGAATGCTACAATTGCTACGTGAACGATCCAGCCAACCCACCTCCCGAGGTGAGACAGTTGGAGCGAAGTGGGAGCAAAAACGATGACGTATTGACGACGTAATCAGAGTTGCTGGGAGCGTTCCGAAGCATCAAATGGACCAGTCATATCAGTGCTACAAATGCTCTGTAGCGTTTGAAGCGCTAAGTGGACCGCAGCCCATATGGAAAGCACCCGTTATTAGCTTGGACACATTTTCGACTACGATTTTATCAACAGTGTCGAAAATGTTACACGTAGTTCACATTTATTTCATAAAATAGATATTGGTGTCGCTAGTGTACAAGGCTGGGAGTGGGGGGGGGGGGGAAAACCGGCCGCTTTCAAGTTTCTCATTTCTCTCTGGTTGTTGGATAAGTTGGATTGACGACGGACGGACGGACGGACGGGCTTCAGAGTTCAGACCGCTTCGCTGATCCATTCGTGTCCATTCGTATACCGTACAGCGTACCAGTCGGTATAACATGTAATACAACGTGAAGCGTTTGCAATGTTTTTCGTGTGAATTCGGTCCAGCATGAGCGTGGTATAGGAGTGTTGCGTGGTGCCGCATTCGCATTCGTTAACGAGGGCCTGTTTTGGATTTGCATCAATTGTGAGTAATATGAATATATTTCATTATTCTCTCGCACATTGCGGAATACGCGGATCACATACGGGCATACGAATGCAGGTCGTCGTCGTCCATGGCGGCGTGACGTCCCACGCGTTCTCATACAGGATGTCCTGAAACAGTTTTCCGATCTCTTCCTGGTCGGCGAATCGAACCGTATCATTTCAGATTACAGTCTCGATAGAACTCTTGGTTAATTTGGGTTATTTGCGTTACTCCGCACTGGTGCACCCTGGACGGGTTATTATATATACGAAGTTGCCCGAAGAGAAAAAACATAAACCTTTTGACCGATGAAATATCTCGTGTTGATGTTATCGTATTTTTTAACGGATTGTACGCATTGGATACTTTGTTGATCAAGATGCTTGTTATGTACTTCTCTATTTATGTCCATTTTTACTAATATCGATTAACTTTAATCGATTTATTTTCTATCTTTTCTCATTTCTTACAACTTGAAAAAGGTATAAAGTAAGTTAAATTAAAGTTAATTTATATTCGCAGAAATGCATATTAAGCTTTTTTTTATTATCAACTTCGTTTATGGTAATTGATGGTTATTATCACGATTACCAACATAAGAAATGAATACAGTTGCCGGAGTATCGATCATGTAATAACTTTTTCTAGAGTGGAAATGTGAAAAGTAAACATATTTATGTATGTATATATGCACGTATACACACAAAAAAAATGTTCATTTTTCATATTTTTGCAGTAGGGAAAAAGTTACAGGACCCCTGAAGAGGAAGAGAGAAAAGTTCCGATTGTTTAAAGTGCTATTGGCAATATTGGCACTTTTACGAGTATATTATCGATTTGTTTAACCTCTTTGTGGAACAAGTTGGAATGAAATGGATTCTGATCAAAATTATTTCCGCTTTTCCTAGAAAACAATAGAAATCTAGGAAATTGAATAATTTCGGTCTGAATCCATTTTGAAGGATTCCGTAGTACGTATCCAAAGGTTAGAAAGAGACCCTTTAGGGTGGCTTCGACCAAACAGCCATTAACTTATCGATCAATCAAGAATGAATAAATTATGATTTGATCGTTTGTTTTCAAAACAGTTTTATCGAAGATTAAATCGAAGTTGTAAAAACTAACTTTTTTCAAGCTATGATTAAAATAAAAGCTATGACTAAAAGTTTATTTAAAATTCACTAAAGTTTATTAACAAGCCTATTCTTTATTAAAAAACATCAAAATATAGCCATGATATGAGAAAAACAATAAGAAAAGATTATATGCATATATTCGTCTAATGGTGAGAAAAAGTAATATAAAAAGATAGTTTTATGATTTTGCAATTTTATTTTCCTTTCTTAAGGAAAATTTTATATGAAAAGAAAGATTAGATTGAAGATAACAAATCATATAGTTAGAACTTTTGCAGTAAACAAATCTGTTAATTGAATTAATTACTGATTAAGTTAATCGGTACTTGTTCCAAGTTGCCTTTGAGGATGTCTTTGTATATAGCAATTTTTATAGTACCAGGACAGAGCTAATGTTTGCCAAATTTAGCCTTCATCTAATTGTACAAAGTTGTAATATTAAATATTTATAAAATAATATGCATTAAATAACATTTTTAGATATTTTCGTAAAGAAAATATTTGTTGCGAACTAAATCGAAAATTAATCGATTTCGCTATAGATTTGTAGCAAAGAAGATACTCTGTGACCTTATTGCTGTTTCATTTGTACGTTTTTGTTATACGATAAATTTTTTATGACTGTTGATTGGCGGTTATAGGAATAGAGAGATCAGGACCTCTCTGTCTTGCACACATTTGTCGTATGGTATAAACACATAAATGAAATAGCTCTTCGTTGCCTATATCACTTTGTAGAAATTAATGCGACATAGGAAATCAATAAGCACACCTTTGTATGATCTCGAGATACTGCACGGCATTGATTATTTAGAGTCTTAAGACTACTTATGACCTGACTTAAGACATTCTTGAATATAAAGCCTTATATCCACAATATTAGAAATCGCTTCGAGATCTCGAACGGAAAAAGAATCAAATTTGAACAATTCGGCCATTTGACCAGTGCGATTGATTAATTTTTTCTTTGTCTAAGATCTTGGAGCAATCGTGGATACAAAGCTTAAGATTGGACTATGAATATTGCCCTAGAGCTCTTAGAATCCAATCTTAAATATAAGATCAGATTTATCATCCTAGATGACTTAGAATTCAATCTTATATTCAAGGCCGTCTTAAATCTAGTCATGGACAGTTTTAAGATTCCATTTAATTAATGAAATCATACAAAATCATATTTAAGACGATCTTGAATATATAAGATCGCATTGATCATAATTCCTGTTATATCCCATATAGGGTCGCCAGCAGGTCACCAGCAGTTACAACGAAACCAACGCTTAGCCAACGCTACGACTGTCAACTGATGGTAAAGATTCTGTCAATCAGTACAGGGCCATCACTGGCAAATGACTGGCTGACAAATGACGGTTAAAGTTCTGTCAGCCAGTACTAAGTCTTCACTGGCAAATGATTGGCTAAAATGACTGGGTCAGTATCATCTGCCAATTCTAAGCCCAAGTTATCATTGAGTATTTAGTCAGTACTGGGCCAGTAGTTTGTCAATACTGTGCTACTACCTGAAGTATGGCAGTTAGTACTGACCCAGTATTGAGCCGATTATAAAACCCTATATGGGATATCTTCTCTGTTTTAATATTTCTCTAACAAAAATGTGGAGACAAGTAGTAATCACATACATACATGATAATGATATTATCTACCTGATTTTTAATATTATATATTCTTGTAAATGTAAAACTTCAGAATAACTTTATTACCTTATTAATCTTCTAGAGTGGGTCTATTGGATCCATTTAATTATAAATCTCTTTGTCAAAAATGTCAAACAATTAAATTTTTATGTTACATTTGCAGTTTTGGATTATTCTTAATAAAATGTATTTTTTCATTCGTTTTTATACGAGTTATATTATTTTGGTTCTTGAAATTAAGCCTCTATAATAAGATTGAAATTGTATGCAACCCATGGTTTCGTTTATTTTATATGCAATCATTTCGTCTATTTTATGTGCAATGTGCATGCATTGTTTCTCTCAAGGTTATGTAGTTTAACTAACTTATTTTCAACTCGATTTATCAGCCATATTTTACCAATATAGATTAAAGGTCGCAGCACACACTCTTGCATAACGCATAATGCATAATGCATAAGCGAATCAACTAATCAGAATCTTTCCTTTCCTTCCATTTCATGGAAAAGAAGAATTTTGATTGGTTGATTCCTTTATGCCCTATGCATTATGCGTTGTGCAAGAGTGTGTGCTGCGGCCTTAACTTTAATCTCAGTTTAATTTACTTTTTATCTTCTAAGAATTAGAAAAAGATAAAGAATAAATTAATCCGAGAGTATAAAATTAATCTACATTAGTAGAAATGAGCTTTTAGGCCCGTTTCCACCAACGCAGATTAACTTTAATCTCGGTTCAACTTACTCTTTGTCTTTTTCTAGTTCTAAAGATTAGAAAAAGACGAAGAGTAAGTTAAACCGAGATTAAAATTAATCTACATTGATGAAAATGGGTATTAGTTCGATTTCACTAATGTAAGATTAACTTTAATCTCGGTTTAACTTGCTTTTTATCTTTTTCTAATTCTTAGAATTAGAAAATATAGAAAATAAGATAATATAGAAAATAAGTTAAACATAGAAAATAAGATAAAGAGTAAGTTGAACCGAGATTAAAGTTGATTTTACATTGGTAGAACTGCGCTTTAGTGGTCGAGATCGTTTAGGTGAGTAACATGTCCTTCCAATGTCTTCGTGTTCCTTTTGATTAACAGATTAAATGAGCTTAGGGCTGCGCACAATCAAAGGAATAAGGAACAGGAAACAGAGAACAAGAATTTCCATCTTATCAGAAACTGTATATTCCACAGTAGGTACATGGTTTTAGATAGGTTGAAATTTTTGTTCTCTGTTCCTTATTTCTTTGATTGTGCGTAACCCTTTACAGAGCCAGCGTCAGTAACTGTTACAAATTTTGGCATCAGCTCCGGAGGGTTAAGTCTTAATATAAAATTATAAATAAAATTTAAATCATAATCTTCTAAAACAATACTGTTATTCTTTATTATACGAGAAATTAAGAAGTATTAGTTAACCACTATTCTTAATTAACATTATTATTAAAGGATTAATTTCAAGAGTCATATCGAATTTTAATTCGGAATTTAATTGTACAAAAAAATATAACATTAAAAATTCATAAAAAATGTGCCTTAAATAACACTCCTCAATATTTTTATAAAACGAATATTTGTCGCGAAAACTCTAATTGATAGAGGAAAATTTACAGTAAAGAAGATACTCACTCGCTGGTTGCGTGTGTTATAGGAGTTAATGTGAAACAGGAAATGACAGGAAATCAATAAGCACACCTTTGTAATCTTTGCATTTAATTAATCCTTATACGCGCGCGCGCGAATCTAGTTTTTATTGTCGCTCTATAGACTCGTTTTTATCAATTATGGTTGAAATAAAAGTTTGCAGCGCTAATTTTAAAGTTCAAACAGCTGTAGTTTTGTTAAATATGAATGAAATTAAAATAAACAGAAAAGGATTTTAAAGCTTAAAATCTTTGTTTTTGAAAGGTTACTGTAGCTTTTGAGTTTCTGCGAGTTTGGTGATTTTTACATATAGAAAACTAGCTAAGATAAAATGGGAAAATTTTTTTCCACTTAACTTGTCACGTGCCAAAAAACTTGCAAAAATTTTCTAACATGAAAGTTTGAAGTTATTGTTACAAATTGCTTTTAAAAAATATTCCTAAAAATTTTTTGTTACTGAGTTATCGCGAATTAAGAAAGAAGCATTTTTACTTCGATTCTGCAATTAAAAAAACACAGATTCTTAAATCTGAAACTTTGCTGTATCGAATTTTATAATTACCATATTTTTTTAAAAACTTGTAGACGTACAAATGAAGTAATACTACGAATTTTTGTTTCAACTCAATAGAGTAATCTTAATTTTAGTTTAACTCCCTTATTATCTTTTTCTAGTTTTTAGAATTAGAATAGAATAAAGAGTAAAATAAATTGAAATTAAAGTTAATCTACATTTTAAGAAACAGACACACTATACAGAATTGTGATCTAAATCTTGATCTAATCTGATCATTCGATAAAAACTTATAAATGATGTATAACTTGTGGGTCGATAGAAACCTTATTAACGAAATTTGTTTACGAGCAATTTTTTTTTAAATTCTACGAGAGAGAAAGATATATGTATATGGCCCATTCCACGTGTCGGATTTATGTAAAAATAAACTGCCTGGAATTTTTTAAATAATCATGAAAACATTAGTGC